GATTCTTGATGAAGGAATGTTTTTTTAAATGGCTTGGCATTTTGAAGTATTGATTGTGCAATATATCTAGCCCTAACTATTTCCCAATATTTATTGAGTACTGTACCAGATTAAAATTCTGGAATGGGAATTAATCCAAAGTAGTTAATGTGAAGCAAAATTATGATTATCTAAGATTCCTATTCCTCGCTCTTATAATGTCTAGACATCAGCACTGGGCACTCTAAGGCTTCTATCTTGAGAATGAGAGGAGGAGGTTCTCTAGAACTGAGATCCTATCTTCTAGTTCCATTCAAACCTCTTTCCCAGTCCCTTCTGTCAGTGCCTTTCCCAGCACAGGCTTGTCATAATGCACCCTGTCAAGAAATAGCTCAATTACTGTTAAAAAGTGAGTTAGCCGGGGTCGGTGGCTCAGCCTATAATCCCAGGGCTCTGGGAGGCTGAGGTGAGTGGATTGCTTGAGCCCATGGGTTTGAGACCCACCTGGGCAACTTGGCGAGACCTCATCTCTACAATAAATCAAAAATCAACCGGGCATGGTAGCGTGCACCTGTAATTCCGGCCACTCGGAAGACTGAGGCAGAAGGATCGCTGAAGCCCAGTGGGTCGAGGCTGCGGTGGCCGGGAGCGGCCACTGCACTCCAGTCTGGGTGACGGAGTGAAACTCCAACTCAAACAAAAAAAAAAAAAGTGAGTTAATCAACCTAATGTTGATTTGGTTCTTTGATTGCTGCAACCTCACAACATTCAAAGAACCAAATTGTATTGAGATACGGAGATTGGACAACTGTGACACGAATTCCCACCCAGCCACTGTGTGATCTTAAATACTTCATGTAATTTCTCTGATTCTCACATTCTCCTCTTTCAAAAATTATGATTAATCAAGGGGAAAGGTTCCTTCCTCTGACGTCGTCTTCTTCTAATCTTATGGCTTAATAAAAATTGTATTTCTTAAATTCAAGAACATGATAGCAAAGTAATATTAATAGGAGTAGCTAGCATTTATCAATTGCTGGTTTATAGTGTGCCAAACCTGTACTAAATATTTGACATATATCAACTCATTTATCTTTAATAAACTTTCTAAAATAACTTTCAGAGTTTTTCTGGTATTTTGAAGCCATTCTCAGGCAATCCCAAGTTGCAGTCTTTTTAAAAGGCCTATTGAGTGTTAACAAAGCTCTGGTTTAGGTCTGAGACATTTCTGGGTATTAGAATTAGCAACAGCCCTTGCCAATGTGGTGACTCAGGCCTGTAATCCCAGCACTTTGGGAGGCAAAGGAGAGAGGACGGCCTGAGCCCAGGGGTTTGAGATCAGCCTGAGCAACTTGACTAGACCTCCTCTCCACAATAAATCAATCAGCCAGGCATGGTGGTGCCTGCTTGTAGTTCCAGCTCCTTGGAAGGCTGAGGTGGAAGGATCACCTGAGCCCAGCAGGGTGAGGCTGCGGCGGCCGCGATTTGGGGACTGCACTCCAGCCTGGGCGACAGGTGAGGTTCCCACTCAGAGAAGAAAAAAGAAACGGTCCTAATGTTCATTTGGCGCCGTGATCTAGTTTACTGGTCTGCATCTTTCCTTCTGGGGGGTCTATAATGTACATGTTCTCCATTTGTGTGTTTTCCGTGCGCTCTCATTCATTCCTGCAAAACGTGAAACTAAACGCTGGGGCTTTGAAGCAGCTTTTAACACAGCTTCAGCACTTTGGGAGGCCAGGGCAGGAGGCTCGCTTGAGCTCAGGAGTTCGAGACCAGCCTGGGCAACTTGGTGAGACCGCATGTCCACAATAAATCAAAAAATGAGCCGGATATGGTGGCTTGTGTCTGTAGTTCCAGCTACTAGGAAGGCTAAAGCGGAAGGATCACCTAAGCCCAGCAGATCCAGGCTGCAGTGGCCGGGAGCGTCCCACTGCCCTCCAGCCTAGGCGACAAAGAGTGAAACTCCAACTAAAAAAAAAATTAGCTGGATGTGGTGATGTGCAGCTGTAGTCCCAGATACTCAGGAGGCTGAGGTGGAAGGACCACTTGAGTCTGGGAGGTTAAGGCTGCGGTGAGCCGTGATCATGCCACTGCACTCCAACCTGAGCAACAGAGTGAGACCCTGACTCAAATTAATTAATTAACTAATTAATTAATTAAACTCTTTCCCAACCAGATGTGGTGGCTCATGCCTATAATCCCAGCACTTTGGGAGGCCAAAGCAGGAGACCAGGAATTTGAGACCAGCCTAGGCAATATAGTCTTCATTGTTACAAAAAAAATCTCAAAATTAAAAAAAAATTAGCCCAGCAATGTGGCACATGGCTATAGCTCCAGCTACCTGGGAGACTGAGGCAGAAGGATCAATTGAGCGCAAAAGTTGGGATCTGCAGTGAACCAAAATTGCGCCACTGCACTCCAGCCTGAGCCTCCCTGGTCATCTCTTTCTCGCCTCCTACCCCAGTCCCTGGCACAATGCCTTGAGAAGTCAGTATACAACGGACATTTTTTTAAAATTGAAAACAATGAAAAATTGGGAGCAGACAACCTTCTTTGAAGATCTTTAGAAAGAAGTACCATTTAAAATTAATAGCTGTGGTTGATTCGCTTTTTAAGTTTTGTTCTACTTTTTACTCTTTTTCTTTTTTTGAGTTGTGGTCTCACTCTGTCGCCCAGACTGGAGTGCAGTGGCCACTCCCGGTCACTGCAGCCTCGACCTGCTGTGTTCTGGCGGTCCTTCTGCCTCAGCCTTCCAAGTAGCCAGAATTACAGGTATGCGCTACCACGCCTGGCTTTGATTTATTGTAGAGATGAGGTCTCGCTGCCCAGGCGGGTCTCGAACCCGCGGGCTCAGGCAGTCCACTCACCTCAGCCTCCCAAAGGCGTGGGATTACAGGCTGAGCCACCGAGCCCGGCTACTTTTTACTCTTAACAGTGAATTTTTTTAAACATTGATAGGATGTCAAATTCAATGATAAACAACACACAATTCATGGCCTCCACATCCTAGAGAATTTTTCATCATTGAAACTCTGAGATATTTAAATTTTCAACAGTTTTCTGAAAATTCTCCATAGGTTTTGGGTTCATTACAATTCTAGATTTGAGTCTGCAGTTAGAAAAATACAAGCACCCAGAAAGTTATTGTTTGCCATTCAATAACACCATTATTAAAGATGAATTTTAATTCCATAATTAAAGTATTCCCTTTGATCAAATGGAAGACATTAAGGTAGTATACTCCACAAAACTACAGTGAGTAAATATTTCATGCAGTCTGCTATTTTTCAGATGTTAGAAACAGGTATGAATAGAAAGAAGAATGTACCATGTGCTGTGTTCTCTACTTGGCATAACCAATGCATCAAAAATCACATCAAATGTAAAGTCATTGTCTGATAACTATAACTTAGAGCCAGAAATTTGAGCTAACCTACCTGAAGTTCTACTCAACTACTGTTTTCTGCCAGTGGAACAACCAATTCCATCTTGAATAGGCATTTTTATTTATTACATGTCACAATAGGTATTTGTATTTATTACATGTCATTCTATTTATTACATGTCATATTTGACCATGCATATATAGTTTCATTAGTTCAAAACAAATTTACACTTCTAATTACATTAATTTCCAAAGATTTATATTCTCTTTCCTAGTTTTTTTGGGTTTTTTGGTAGATTACTATTGTTTAAAAGTGCGATATTTTAGAACTGTATTTATCACACCATTAGCAAACCAATTTTAACAAACTACTGATAAAATATAATGCATCAGATGACTTTCATATAAATTTCAAAAGTTGCATGGTGTTGCTAGTCTGTTGTAAATTTGAAAAAGATAAAATCAGTGAAATATTTTAAGTGATGGGCTATTTGAAATATTAATAAAGGACATGTAACATAAAAGGCAATGTGAGCCCAAAATAAGTCTCAGTCCATTGAAAATTGAAAAAGTCAACCAACTAACTGGCTTTATTACCTGTGTTCTAACTGACTCTTCAAAATCTACTCTTTCTTCTAAATCTACTGAGTCTCAAACTGCAAGGAAAACAATTACACAATTGTCAGCTATTTCTTTGTCAAGAGTTATTCCTACCAAGTTTCAATCTGGTTGTATTTTATGTGGGCCTTCATGACAATGAAGGCATATAGGACCCACTTCCTTCTGCATTAATAATAAAAATAATTTCAGCCAAGATGACCTGGAACTTAATGTAGAGAGAACCAGAGACCTTCAAGCACTCACTGCAAACATTAGTATGCATTCTGTGGCATAAATATCAGATACTCGCCAGTCAGAATCCTGAAATTGTCGCCTTTGGCTAATTATGTCTAAAATCAATTTTGATGGCTTATATTGATAATTGTTAACTAGAAGACTGCAAGCATGTCCTCTGTTACTAATCTCAATGCTTTATTTATACACATCTCTCAAGTATACTTATATTGGGTTGAGTTGAGAGCCCCTGGTACAGCTATACTTGCATTTACAATGTGGGATATAAAAATTATTATAATAAAAAATGTATCAACCAAGAACTTTTCAGTGTGTCAAAATAAGATTTAACTATACTGTAAGTGTCAAGTCATGCATAGCATGGTTGAAATATTTGACCACTATGAATGAGTTTACATAGTGATTACATAACACTAAGGTAGTGGCCATGTGCATGTTTCCAAACCTCCTCAGCTAAGCCCCGCAAAAACAAATCAGAACAACAATAAACAACAGAACGGAACTACTGTCTCACCGCTACAGTCATCTGTTACTCACCAGTGTGTCTTTATGATTAGTACAGTGGCAAAGACATAGTAGGTACTTGGTAAACATTTGTTGAATTAGTAAATTGGGTTGAATCTGGAGAATATCACTTACTTCTGCAGTTGCAGTTCCATTGTGACTTTTAAAAACTGATAACTTGCGTTGCTCTCTGCTCCTAGGAATTTAATGATTAGAAACAGTGACACAGTGATAAATAGCTTGCATTGATTGCTCTGTTCTATTTGTGTATTTACAGGCAAATGGACACAGTTTTGTACATATGGAACATGAAAAAGCTGTATTACTACTGAAGAGTTTCCAGAACACAGTAGACCTAGTTATTCAACGTGAGCTTACTGTCTAAATATTTTTTATAAGTAGTGAAGATACGTCTAGCCAGACTTAATGTTCAAAAATAAATTTATACATAGAAACAAATTTTGCCAATTGCTGGACCAATGGCAAACATTAGTGCCAAATGTATAATACTATATGGTAGCACTGATCATCCTTAAAAATGTTAACTCTATAAATAGATGTTCATGTGGTTATGTATTTGTTTTAACTGTCAGCCTTTGGCTGTGCATTGGTGCAGTTTTGTTTTTGATTTTTAAGCAAATAAGTTTCTTCTCAAAGTGAATTTCATATAATTTCAGAGCACGGAAGCACACACAAGCTCTTTACGAATTCTGCTCTCCATCAAAAACACTGCCTCAAAGTTGTATATGCCTTTATATAGAAAATACAAATATAAAGAATTGTAATTCCCATAAAATATTTCTAGCACAAGGTATATGTTGGCATATATACAAAAAGAATATAGAGAAAAACAATATTTTCATAAACTAAACATCTCGGACTGAGAAAGAAAATATATCTTAAAATAAGACTTTACTATATTAAATCTTTTTCAATAAAAATTACATGATAATGCCTTATGGAAGTAACTGTACATATGGTATAAAGTGTTTATATTTGGTTCCATATTCATTTGCTAAATTCTCATAACACAGAGTGAAATATTTCATAAATGAGTCACTTACTCTGGGACTCGAGAATAACAATAGGATGAACAAATTTGTTCAATACCTTTAGCTAATTACAACACATGCAGAGTCTAGAAACAGACTAAAGGTCGTTGTAGATAAGTCTTTTTCACCACAAATTAAAGCAGTGGATGATGGGTGGCAGGAAAGTTGTCGCTTTATTTTTTTCAGATTTTCATGTTGATTATAAACTGTAGCCCCTGTGGTTTCTTCACTTGTAAATGTGGAATTTATTTGTGTGCTGCTAATTTGCTACTTTTAAACCATTTAAAATGAGTTTTGGAAATTGATAAAATTTATCATTAAGAAAGATTGTTGTTAGAAAGTTACAGTGGGTGATTTTAAAACTTTGGTATTTAAATATGAAACTTCAAATATAATTTCTCAGAGCTGTGGTCTATATGTATCGTTAATTTTAAGGCCTGTTTTTGTGGGCAGAAATAGATAACATTTTTTTCCCCCAAAAGTGTTTCAGGCTGTATAAAATTTGAAATGCTTTCTCACTGGAGAAAAGAACAAGCATAGTTAATGTAGAATTATTTGCTTTTCCATTGAAACTGTTTTCCTCTATGGATGATCAAAACTCATTTTATAATCCTTTTAAAATTTTCTCTTTTTATATTAGTCATTAATTTGGTCAAATGTTAATTTGAAATTCCAGAAAAATTTCCTGGAATTAGTTGCATGCATTCTTTCCCATATTTTCACATAGTTCTTTTGTTATATAACAAGTTTACATGCTAGTATTTCAAGTATTCTATTAGGATTTTCACGATAGCATCACATGTTGATGTCACCCAAGCTCTGAGAATAATATTTGTAAGTTAACTGTTTTATGGGGGACATTGAAAATATTGTATTTTTGTAGGGTCTATTAAAATGAGTGTCACTTATTAGAAGTACGGTAGTATTTTTTGGCAATAGAATTTGTCACTTGAAGGCCAATGATGCTTCAACTTTATAGACGATGCACTAATTTTGATGTTGCTTTATGCCAGGGTGACATTATACCATGATTTTATAGGGCTTAACAATTAGCTAATGATTAAATGATTGCCCTATTTAGTTTGTTTCCTAGACGTTACTTTTAAATGCATTTTAATGTATTGAGAGTTTGAATGAGAAATGTCTTTCAGAGCCTAATTTCCTTTGTCAAAAATTCATGCCAAGCCACTGTATCCAGATATTATAGGATGATCATCATTAATCAAGATGGAGGACCATACTGGCCTCACAAGATCACTTCAAAGAAAAAAAGAACTCATGGTATAGTTTGGTGGCAATGAAGCATCTCAGATCATCCCATCAGTGTTGCTTAGCTTTCTATGGGAGAGGTGGGAAGAGAGCCAGATGTAGAGCTGCCCTGAGTCTTTTTCTTATGTCAGGTTTCCACACCAAACCCAGGGCGTCAGGAAATGCATTGGAGGCACACAGCAGGGAGGATCGTGACCCTAGCAAACACCTCTACCACTCCCGATGTGACAACACTGTTTTGATCCAGTGCTTTAGTACTTCCTGTTCTGCAGTTTAGAAATGAGGAAAAAAGAAAAGAGATCCTTAACCAACTGGAAGGGAAACCTGATATGCCAGAGTACCTCCTTGTCAACTGTATTGCCATGTTGCATATCGAGAGCAGGGGGGCAATAATGAAAAGAGGCTTTTTTTTCCTTTCAGGTTAACAGATTAGAATCACTAATCACTTGGGGGGGGAAATCCAATTGATTCTGTAGGTGACAAAAACCAATAATACAATGACTTTTGATTACTGACTTTTTGCAGTAACTGGTTTTGCTGCTGAAATTAGAATCTGGTGTATGGTAATGACCACAACAAAAAAGTCAACGGTGTCCCTTTAAAAAAAAAGAAAGAAAGAAAAGTCAACAACAACAAAAAGAAGCAGAATTCATGATAGCCCCAATAGGCTCTTCCTCTTGGTCTTTGATTTTTATTGGACTCTTTCTGCTGAGGAAGCTGTTTATATGTGATGAGTCAGTAAGATCTAATGGAGGGGACTGAGAAAGATTAGAAGTAGAAAGAGAAAGACGGAGTAACTTTGGTCAAGGACCCACATGCACAGTACTGACTGGGTCTCAGGAAGTAAGGGGTGGATGAGATGTAAATGAGAGAAACACCCCCAGAAAAGATAAAATAGAAACCACAACAAAACCCTTCTAACAACAGATAGCCTACTCTGGGCCCCCTCTCGTTTTCTAGAGAGCTTTGTTGCTTAATGAACTCCTTTTAAAAAAAAAGTAGAAAGAGAAAACCCTGAAAATTATTAGAAGGATCATTGCAGATTTTGCAAGACAAATAATGCAGGACATTAGTGGACATTTTGCAAGGCTTATAATACTTTGCCATAAAAACTCTGTTATGATAATTCTAGCTTTCCAGACAACACAAGGCACCTAAATACACATAACTTCCAAATGTAGTTTTGACAGGGACTGCCAAAGTCAGTGACATACAAATATGTACAGCATGCTAATTTATTGCTCATTTAAGCCTGTAGAAAACATGTGTCCCCGTTCCTTAGAACTGTAGATATGTAGACATCAAATAATCTCAGCTGTTTCTGGTCCTTCTCTTGAATCACCACCTTCAAGATGGAAAACAGCTGCAAAAAGGGGGTGACAAAACAATGCTAATTTGCCTTTAATCTTAAAGATGATTATGCCCACATCACTAATGTAATTGCTTATCTAAACTGAATTAGCCGGGAGTGGTGGCACAAACCTACTGTCCCAGCTACTTGGAAGGCTGAAGCAGGAGGATCACCTAAACCCAGGAGGTTGCGGCTGTGGTGAGCTGTGATCATACCACTGCACTCCAGCCCAGGAGACAGAGTGAGACTCTGATGCAAAACAAAAACAAACAAAAAAAGTAGGACTGAAGTATCTTTTGGCAGGTGAGCTAAAGAGAGAGAAGATTCAAAGGGGAGAAAACACTGAAGAAACTAGATTTATATACAACTATTAAGTGAAAGTATCCGATTTTACCAAAAATGATTAGATGAAGGAAACAAAACACCCCACTTTATTTTTATCATAAAATCTATTTAATATCCCCAGCAGAATTTACAGCTTTGGAAAACATCATGTATTCGCCACCTTATCTTTCCATTGGCTTTTAATGCTGTCCTTAATCCATCTCTGCCCTTCATTGGCACACAGATTAAGAATGTCTGTTTGGGTGAATGTACTTTTAGCAAGAGGCAAGAATATACCTTAACTAGATCAAAAACAATGCTGGTGTAGAGCTACCACTTGGTCTTGGGCAAATCCAACCAGTCAGCACACTTGACTGATTCCTGGTATACTGACCAAGTGGCAGGTATTGGCACACTGGATCAGTAAGAAGTTATGCAAACAATAAAATCCAATATGTTAAGAAGATGGGTGATGTAGCTGGTATAAAGAAAAGCAAAGGTCCAAAAGAAAAAGTTGACTTTCCATGACAGTTCCTCCCACAAAACGCGAAATACTTCTGAGCTTAAACGTTTACACTCTGGATTGGTGTTGTGTCCTCTCTTAGACTTGTAGCTACCTTGATCACCTGGGAACTGGGAGACTGTCGCCAGACTGGAGATCACTTGCACGAACTCTTTCCCTCAGCAATAGAACCGCCTTCCTTTAAGAAAAGCATCCTGACTTGGCTCAGAACATTTCTCCATCACCCAGCAAGACCCTACCCCAAGAATCCACTGGAGCGAGAAAACAGAATGTGGGCTGTGGACAAACATGTGCACCGTGGAAAGCGTGTGGGTCATTATTATGGGAGATCCTGAGTGTCAGCACTCCTGTGCATCCTTTCAGCTCCATTTTGAGGCGAACCATCCAGAGAATGTATTTTGTGAGACACCCCTCTGTACAGACAGGTAGATGCCATCAAGTTGTTGAATTGTATCCCGAGCCCTCTGGGAGCATTTCTGTTTCTAAAACCGACCTCTCTTCCTTGCTGCCGTTGCTGTTGTAGACTCACCCCTCCGACTCCCCATGCTGTCTCAAAGCCTTAGCTGTTCAAAGACCCCTGAGCATCAACTGAGAGTTCTGAAAGCTTCCAGCTTGGGAGGAGCTTTCTCTGGTGACCAAGGAGCCCGGAGTAGTAGCATTGAGCCAGGCCCAAAGATGGCACACTTGCCACGTTACCGACTTCAGCAAGCAAAGCCTGTGTGCAATTATGAGGGTGGCGATGCCCGAGGGCAGGCAGGCATCTGTTTCTAAGATGCTAGATTTTGCCTGCTTGATGGACTTTCTCTAAGCCTCTCGGCTGCTTGTTGCCAAGACAGATCCCCATCTTCCTGACTCTAACACCGTCTGCAAGAGAATGACTTGCAAACACTCCAGAGAGGGTATAAATTGCACAGCATCCACTTTGGAGAATTCAGAGATGTTTTAAAAACTGAACGGAAAATTCCACTCATACGTTTTCATTTTAAAAACATACCGTGAAGCTATAGGAATACAGGAAGTCCCCCACATGCGGACGAGTTCCGTTCCAAAAGTGCATTTGCAAGTCCACTTTGTCTTAAGCCCAGCAGTCATTCTGGGTACCCAACTAACACAATCAGCTATATAGTGCTGTATGTATTTAACAGGTGATACTGACATCTGGTGAAGAGAAATAATACATTAAAAATTCAGGTGTGCATCTTTAAAGTTTGTAACGTGAAGCTTCGTGTGTAGGGGGTTTACTGTATTGAATCCTCTGGGCGTTGAACTGTGTGCTTATCTTGATCTGCCGCCAGAGCAGTTCTATGGGGAGTAAGGAGAAAAGACCTAAGAGAGGGGAGAAAACAGTCTGGTTCCAACTGTAGAAGCATGCCCTCAGCAGTAAGGTTTCCCTGGTTGAGTTCTGTGAGGACAGTCAGCTCATGCTCCTTGCAGCAACAGAGCACTAAGCAGAGCAAGAAGTGGCCTAGATTGAGGCATGCTCAGAAACAAAGGCTACCTCCGCAGCTGTGCCAGTACCTCTCCACACTCTGCAAAGCACGTTCTTTTGCCTAACTTGGTTAGTGGCAGCGCCTCAGAAATGGGAAGGTTATGAAATTTAGGTGGCATTTACATCTGAAGGTACTGAAACCCTGTGACTCCTGTTAGTGGGACGCTGGAACCAGCCTAGGCCTGACCCAAAGAAAAAGTCATGGTCGAGTTCCCACAGGTGAGATGTGCACACCTGGAATAATTTTTTCCTCTCCATATAAAAAAAGACTTTTTTCTGCTCTTTTAAGCTAACATGAATTTCAGTGGGTATAGGAATTGGTGTTAGAGAAAAAGTTAAGTAAAACACCCAATCTCTCTATTTTTTTTTAAAAGCAGGATTTATTGAGAGGACAGAAAAGCTCCCACAGTGGGAGGGGACCTGAGGGCATTGCCCCAATCTCTCTAGTTTTAAAGTGCATTTTTCTGTCACTGTTACATGAGTTTACTGTTTGTGCTGCTCTTCCCTTCTTTAAGATAGCACGTTGAGTACGCAGTCTAACAAATAGACAGCCTAGAATAAAATATCTTATTCAGTACAGGGACTTTTATTTTTATCCGCAAACTCCTGTATTTCCTCCACAGGAAAACATTTACTGTAGCTGAATCTCAGAGGCTTATGGTGTGTCACTCATGCAGTTAAAACATTAGGAAACATTTCATTGAAGAACACAACAAAAACATTAAATGCGATGATTATAAATATTAAAATAAATGTTGCGTTCAGCTACACATCAGGCACTGTAAGGACAGGATGCAGTTTCCTCTGTTCAGAATGTATCAAGTGCAAAGATAAGAAAAGTTCCAGATCAAAGACAACCCAAGGCAATGTGGTGAGTCCTTTTGCCCCTGCCCTCAATACACCTTATTACCGAAGGAAATGGAATCTTTATCAAGTCATAGCTGTTTGAGTTTGAGCATGCTTATTTCATTTGGATCTGCAGATAGGTCTTAAGGCTGGGTTTGATGGCCTTTGAGAGGCCATTAAGAATATTTGCCAGGATTTAAGACAACATTTGATATGCTAGACATGGCAAGTGTGGATACATAGTAACTACAATCTCTAGACCAGATAAATAGCAACCA